ATAGTACTAGAAGTCCTAGCCACAGCAATCAGACAACAAAAAGAAACACAAGGCATCCAAATCGGCAAAGAAGTGAAACTCTCACTTTTTGCAGATATGATACTTTATATGGAAAACCCAAAAGACTCTATCCCAAAACTGTTAGAACTCATACAGGAATTCAGTAAAGTAGCAGGATATAAAATCAATGCACAGAAATCTGTGGCATTTCTATACACCAACAACAAGACAGAAGAAAGAGAAATTAAGGAGTTGATTCCATTTACATAAGTCGATCTCAAAACCATAAGATACCTAGGAATAAATCTAACCAAAGAGGCAAAGGATCTGTACTCAGAAAACTACAGAATATGCATGAAAGAAATTGAGGAAGACACAAAGAAATGGAAAACCATTCCATGCTCATAGATTGGAAGAACAAATATTGTGAAAATGTCTATGCTACCTAGAACAATCTACATATTTAATGCAATCCCTATCAAAATACCATCAACTATTTTTCAAAGAAATGGAACAAATAATCCTAAAATTTGTATGGAAACAGAAAAGACCTGGAATTGCCAGAGGAATGTTGAAAAAGAAAAGCAAAGCTGGTGGCATCCCAATTCCAGACTTCAAGCTCTATTACAAAGCTATGATCATCAAGACAGTATGGTACTGGCACAAAACCAGACACATAGATCAATGGAACAGAATAGAGAGCTCAGAAATGGACTCTCAACTCTATGGTTAATTAATCTTCGACAAAGCAGGAAAGAATATCCAATGGAAAAAAGACAGTCTCTTCAACCAATTGTGTTGGAAAAATTGGACAGCCACATGCAGAAGAATGAAATGACCATTTCCTTACACCACACACAAAAATAGACTCAAAATGGATAAAAGACCTAATTGTGAGATAGGAGTCCACCAAAATCCTTGAGGAGAACACAAGCAGCAACCTCTTCGAACTCAGCCGCAGGAACTTCTTTCTAGAAACATCGCCAAAGGCAAGGGAAGCAAGGGCAAAAATGAA